CTCACACACACACCTCTGCGATGCTGTCGCTCACACACACACCTCTGCGATGCTGTCGCTCACACACACACCTCTGCGATGCTGTCGCTCACAACACACACCTCTGCGATGCTGTCGCTCACACACACAACCTCTGCGATGCTGTCGCTCACACACACACCTCTGCGATGCTGTCGCTCACACACACACCTCTGCGATGCTGTCGCTCACACACACCTCTGCGATGCTGTCGCTCACACACACACACCTCTGCGATGCTGTCGCTCACACACACACCTCTGCGATGCTGTCGCTCACACAACACCTCTGCGATGCTGTCGCTCACACACACACCTCTGCGATGCTGTCGCTCACACACACACCTCTGCGATGCTGTCGCTCACACACACACCTCTGCGATGCTGTCGCTCACACACACACCTCTGCGATGCTGTCGCTCACACACACACCTCTGCGATGCTGTCGCTCACACACACACCTCTGCGATGCTGTCGCTCACACACACCTCTGCGATGCTGTCGCTCACACACACACACCTCTGCGATGCTGTCGCTCACACACACACCTCTGCGATGCTGTCGCTCACACACACACCTCTGCGATGCTGTCGCTCACACACACACCTCTGCGATGCTGTCGCTCACAACACACCTCTGCGATGCTGTCGCTCACACACACACCTCTGCGATGCTGTCGCTCACACACACACCTCTGCGATGCTGTCGCTCACACACACTCCTCTGCGATGCTGTCGCTCACACACACACCTCTGCGATGCTCTGTCGCTCACAACACACACCTCTGCGATGCTGTCGCTCACACACACACCTCTGCGATGCTGTCGCTCACACACACACCTCTGCGATGCTGTCGCTCACACACACACCTCTGCGATGCTGTCGCTCACACACACTCTGAGAGCTGTCGCTCAACCACCTCTGCGATGCTGTCGCTCACACACACACCTCTGCGATGCTGTCGCTCACACACACCTCTGCGATGCTGTCGCTCACACACACACCTCTGCGATGCTGTCGCTCACACACACACCTCTGCGATGCTGTCGCTCACACACACACCTCTGCGATGCTGTCGCTCACACACACCTCTGCGATGCTGTCGCTCACACACTCCTCTGCGATGCTGTCGCTCACACACACACCTCTGCGATGCTGTCGCTCACAACACACCTCTGCGATGCTGTCGCTCACACACACACCTCTGCGATGCTGTCGCTCACACACACACCTCTGCGATGCTGTCGCTCACACACGACACCTCTGCGATGCTGTCGCTCACACACACACCTCTGCGATGCTGTCGCTCACACACACCTCTGCGATGCTGTCGCTCACACACACACCTCTGCGATGCTGTCGCTCACACACACACCTCTGCGATGCTGTCGCTCACACACACCTCTGCGATGCTGTCGCTCACACACACACCTCTGCGATGCTGTCGCTCACACACACACCTCTGCGATGCTGTCGCTCACACACACACCTCTGCGATGCTGTCGCTCACACACACACCTCTGCGATGCTGTCGCTCACACACACACCTCTGCGATGCTGTCGCTCACACACACTCCTCTGCGATGCTGTCGCTCACACACACACCTCTGCGATGCTGTCGCTCACACACACACCTCTGCGATGCTGTCGCTCACACACACACCTCTGCGATGCTGTCGCTCACACACACACCTCTGCGATGCTGTCGCTCACACACACCTCTGCGATGCTGTCGCTCACACACACACCTCTGCGATGCTGTCGCTCACACACACACCTCTGCGATGCTGTCGCTCACACACACCTCTGCGATGCTGTCGCTCACACACACACCTCTGCGATGCTGTCGCTCACACACACACCTCTGCGATGCTGTCGCTCACACACACACCTCTGCGATGCTGTCGCTCACACACCCTTGCGAGCTGTCGCTCACACACACACCTCTGCGATGCTGTCGCTCACACACACACCTCTGCGATGCTGTCGCTCACACACACCTCTGCGATGCTGTCGCTCACACACACACCTCTGCGATGCTGTCGCTCACACACACACCTCTGCGATGCTGTCGCTCACACACACACCTCTGCGATGCTGTCGCTCACACACACACCTCTGCGATGCTGTCGCTCACACACACACCTCTGCGATGCTGTCGCTCACACACACCTCTGCGATGCTGTCGCTCACACACACTCCTCTGCGATGCTGTCGCTCACACACACACCTCTGCGATGCTGTCGCTCACACACACCTCTGCGATGCTGTCGCTCACACACACACCCTCTGCGATGCTGTCGCTCACACACACACCCTCTGCGATGCTGTCGCTCACACACACTCCTCTGCGATGCTGTCGCTCACACCACACCTCTGCGATGCTGTCGCTCCACACACACCTCTGCGATGCTGTCGCTCACACACACACTCTCTGCGATGCTGTCGCTCACACACACCTCTGCGATGCTGTCGCTCACACA